CAAACCCAATCACTTTATCTCTCTTACAAAACAAATACATCCACCCATCACAACCTGCCACCTTCCCTTCCCCCTTTACTGTAATTTGATGCAAGAGCTTATAATTCATCCAAGAATGAAAGATATAATTTGATGCAAGAATAAAATAAAATCAATTTGATCAAGCATGAGCACCAGAAGTCCTTGACATCACTGAACTCACATAGAGCATGTCAAAAGAAGAGAAAATCAAAATGTTGTTTTTTGGCAAGAGACACTTATACTCATCAAAATCAATAAGAACAAGAACAAAAGATCAAAATGGACTCATGGAACAATGATGTTCACACCTCATAATTAAATGTCCCCCACTAATGGGCAGCGCTACATACATTACATGGGTTAGTAATTATAGATGTAATATACATCTTGGATTGTCAATTGTCACCTCTGGAAAAAAAAAAAAAATTATATATTAACACCCTTGACTTGCTGGTGCAGACACCCTAACTTGCTAGTCTGAAGACTCTAAACCCCCTCCACCAAAATTTTGAACACCTTTTCTATGTCAAGTTCAGTCTACTCCAAGAAAGTTTTATCCAACTCATTGAACAATATCTCATTTATTCCCCTCTCTCTCGCTTTCATGACTGATTGTTATTCTTTTTGTAGTTTGAGGTGTGTGGTGGTGAAGATCTGTTGCAAAGTATAATGTCTTTCCACAACACTAAAGATTAGATAGTGTGCTGCAATGGTATGTGCATTTCTTAGTGTTTCAATTCTTCAACCATGGAGTTTTGGTTGTTAGGAACAACGGAGCCCCAAGACGCGTTGTGGGTGCGCATTAGTTTGATATGCAAATGTTGTCGATAGCCTTGATGTTTTTAAGAAATCTTGTTTTTTGGCTGGTCAAAGTAGAGGATAGCTATTTTGTCACCAGAAGTCCTTGACATCACTGAACTCACATAGAGCTTGTCAAAAGAAGAGAAAATCAAAATGTTGTTTTTTGGCAAGAGACACTTATACTCATCAAAATCAATAAGAACAAGAACAAAAGATCAAAATGGACTCATGGAACAATGATGTTCACACCTCATAATTAAATGTCCCCCACTAATGGGCAGCGCTACATACATTACATGGGTTAGTAATTATAGATGTAATATACATCTTGGATTGTCAATTGTCACCTCTGGAAAAAAAAAAAAAAATTATATATTAACACCCTTGACTTGCTGGTGCAGACACCCTAACTTGCTAGTCTGAAGACTCTAAACCCCCTCCACCAAAATTTTGAACACCTTTTCTATGTCAAGTTCAGTCTACTCCAAGAAAGTTTTATCCAACTCATTGAACAATATCTCATTTATTCCCCTCTCTCTCGCTTTCATGACTGATTGTTATTCTTTTTGTAGTTTGAGGTGTGTGGTGGTGAAGATCTGTTGCAAAGTATAATGTCTTTCCACAACACTAAAGATTAGATAGTGTGCTGCAATGGTATGTGCATTTCTTAGTGTTTCAATTCTTCAACCATGGAGTTTTGGTTGTTAGGAACAACGGAGCCCCAAGACGCGTTGTGGGCGCATTAGTTTGATATGCAAATGTTGTCGATAGCCTTGATGTTTTTAAGACATCTTGTTTTTTGGTTGGTCAAAGTAGAGGATAGCTATTTTGTTGATTTGTGAGCTGAATTCTATGGGATTGATTAGTATATTCTATTTTTACTGATTTGATATTGGCATATGTTGATATGTTTTGATTTTGGAGTGTTTGATTACGCTATGTTTTTTTGTTGGCTTTTTGATGTGTTGAAGTGCGTTTAAAACGCTTATTTTTTGGAGAATAGGGGTGTAAGAAAGATCGTCAGAACCGAATGACCCAATCAAAATTTTGGTTTCCCTGGACTTTTGTTGGCTGATCGGTTTGTTCGTTGTTTATTTATTTCAAAACAAACAGTGCTATGTTCGGTGTACATATTCAAATGTTTGACCCTGAAAGTAATCGAAAACAACCGACATAATTATAAAAATGTATAATATATATGGATGTAGATGAATGAGATAGATGTTCCATCTAGTTATTAAAAATAAAGGGATGAGGGAGTTCTTGTCAGGTAATGAAAATATTAGGGGGGATTGCAAATCAGTGAAAAATAGAGAAAGTAATTACAAAAACATGGAGTGCGGTGCAAATGAAAACTGTGGCCTTACTTGCAACAGTGCACAGACCCCACCTGCACTGTTTTTATAATTATATTTTGTTTACTTTCCCTAATTTGCAATTCCCTCAAATATTTAGTGCATATCATTATTTTAAAGAGGGAGAAGTAATAAAGAATTAATCAATGAGTTAGATAGATATATGTCAGTCTCCATTCTTTTTTGTCCTTTATTTTCTTTTGACCTCTCTCTCACCCTTTTTCCCTTTTCTTTCTCATCCTCCCATCTCTTTCTCATTTTTCCATACCTTTTGTATTCCCCAACAAAGTTTCACATCTCTCTCTCTCTCTCATGGCATAGTACCAAATGACCCTTCTTTTCTCTCTAAAAATAACACTGTTCAGCTTTCTCCACTACTTTCATGGCTAGAAATACTCTTCTATTTCCCCCCATGTTCACAAGATATTACAAGGGTGGGTATATATCCGACACCCATACTCAATTAAAACACTTTCTACAAATTTAATTTATATGTTCTTTGATTGATGTGTGTACATATATACACATTCAAAAATGCAAACCAAAAGATTGACTTTATATGTTCTTCTTGGACTAACTGATTAAACCGACCAAACCATACCATCTCAATACACAATGGTTCAACTAAACATAAAATTGAGAGGATTAGTTCGGTGGAAAATCTCCATAAACCCCAAACCGATTTCACCCCTACTGAAGATTTTTCACCCAAGTCACTTGTGTAAAACTACTTAATTAAAATGCTTGTTGATCTTCGTGTTTCTTTATTGAGAGATTATTGTGGTTGTTTGCTTGGACAGGTGTTTTGAGCTTGATTGTAATATTTATTTTTTTATTAATAAAATTTTACTTGTCAGAAATTTTTAGTTTCTTTGTACTGAATACTGATTTAGACTTGTTTTGGCAACAACCTAAAATAGTCAAAAACCCAAAAAGCCACTGCTAAAAAGTCAATTCTTCTCTCTATTTATCCAATGTCTTTTCATAAAAATCCAAAGGGTGATTCTATTTACACACTAGTAATAATCTTAGTACACACAATTACTTAGTATACACACAAAATAATTTTAGGGTTTAAAAATGTCTTAATTCACACCTTAACTTTCCATTACTAACCCTATATTAGCACACCACTAACTATTTGAAAATACACACCATTACACACACCAAAAACTTTTCATCTTCACCACTATACACAACAAAAACCCTACAATCTTCAAAACAGAGACCATCTTCATCGGTCTTGATCTCCATCCCCAACGGAGGTTTCATTCGGCCTCATTCTTCGTCAGTGTTGATCTCCACAGTTGGTGTTGAACTCTTATCGTGTCTCTTCTCATCGTCTCGTCGGTACACACAATTACTTAGTATACACACAAAATAATTTTAGGGTTTAAAAATGTCTTAATTCACACCTTAACTTTCCATTACTAACCCTATATTAGCACACCACTAACTATTTGAAAATACACACCATTACACACACCAAAAACTTTTCATCTTCACCACTACACACAACAAAAACCCTACAATCTTCAAAACAGAGACCATCTTCATCGGTCTTGATCTCCATCCCCAACGGAGGTTTCATTCGGCCTCCTTCTTCGCCAGTGTTGATCTCCACAGTTGGTGTTGAACTCTTATCGTGTCTCATCTCATCGTCTCGTCGTTTCAGATCACCGGCAGAGTGTTTCATTCAGCCATCTTCGCCGGTGTTGATCTTCATTGTCGATCTTGAACTCTCGTTTCTCGTAGTCGTTTCAAATTCATCAAATTAGTCATGTTCATAAATATAGAGTTGAGCAAACTTAATGTGTTCAAAAATTTATATCTTAACAATAAATAAAAGTTTAATTTATTTTAACCGAACTAACTTAAAATGTTCAATTTTTTATACATGAACATTTAATATTTGGTCAATCTTAATAATTTGAACAAAATTGTTTTGTTCAAATATAAATAATCGAACATTGTGTAAAAATTCAACTCTGGTTATCCGAACACGACGAACAAACTCACTTGCCTAACATACGATGAGATAAATAAAAAATCAAAAAACTAACTCATAAACTAACATTTTCAATATTCAAATCAACGTTTTCAATATTTATATCAGAACCAACCATCTCAGTGTCATCCATGATGTACAAATCTTCAAAACTAATTAATTTCAATGCTCTTAAATCCTAAATCTTCAAAGGCAATAATGTTTTGGGTTTGAAAAATAAGTATAATGGAGAAGAGAATGAAGTGAGTTAATTGATAATGAACAATATCATAATTATATGTTAATCGTGAAGATGATGAAGAAATACAATGTTTATATATTAAAACCCCAAACCCTATTGAAATGATGGTGTGTGAAGAGTATTTTGTGGTTTTAAATATAAAATTTTTGAATGGGTAAAATACACCTCATGTTGTCCTTAATGGTCATATCATTGGAGGATACTATTGGAATATGAACTTAATCTATTAATAGTGTATCCTGAGAGTATTAGTGGTGCGCATAGTTGTCAAATCGGGATTCGTATCGTGAATCAAAATGATCTCGTACCGAATCACGAATCGAATCGAATCGTGAATCATAAAGATTCGGTCACTTCTTCTAAATTATTTAAAAACATATATTTTCACATTTAGATGTTAAATATATCTTATGAATATAAAATATTTAGACTTAAATCAATAAAAATGTTATTTTGAATGATAATCACATAGTTTAATAAGTAAGAATTTAACAAACATTCCTATGTAAGATCACCATCTTACTTTTTTTTCTTTTTTAGATATTTCTTATCAACCATTCTTAATAAAAATAATAACCAAATAGACAAACTATCAATTTCTAAAGTATTTGTTAGTCATTACTGATCCAACTGCTTGCATGACAGAGACAGATGTGAAATTCTCTGAGGGTATCAATTCAAGTCCCTTCACAAAACACAAGATGAATTCCTATCAGAGACTAAATTAAAAATGAAATTGCAAGTAACAACTTCATTTTCCAACTGTCGATTTGGTTGCTCAGAAAATGGAGCAAAAATAACCAAAATTTGAACCTTAGATGCATCTTTTATTTGAAAACTGAGAAAACAATCCCTCCATTCAACAGTAAAATTAAAATGACTTCATCATCTTTAAGCAAAATTAAGCAATGCAACATAAAACAATAAGGTTCAAAATTCTGAACTCTCCATCAATTTTCCTGGCTACCAAACAAGTAAAAAGAAACAAATACACTCGATAGGATTCTCTACTAATATTGTATAAAAATACACAAATGTTCAAATACTCAATCTAATGACATATAGAGAAAGAGAGTAAGAGAGACTGTATACCTTCCATTGTCTAGCTTTTTCAAGCTCAATAATGTCGGCAATCTCAGGATCGACAGCTTCAAGTGGAGCATTCAATTGCTTTGGCCACTGTAACATGAAGTGAGATCAAAACAAGCTATAAAAATCACATCAGATAGTGAAACACTATATGAGACAGTTAACGGTCTTAACTGATACGCGCGATTTTTCCTTCTCGTAGACAGCTTCGTTCGGCAAAGACGACTGTATAACAAAAACCATATAAATGAGTATCAATTCATAGTGAAACACGACATGGATAGGCATTAAAAGAGATGCAATAGGAAAAGAACCAGGTGGTAGAATGAGCCGCCATTGAAGACACGATGGATTGGCTGCTTGTGTACTGAAGAAGAGAGTCTGCGAAGTGCGGTCGCCATTGCCATCTCTGCTTCTCTCCTCCTTCTGGTGTCTGTTTTTTTTTTCTTATGCGCTCTGTTTCTGTTGGTTATGGCTGAGGTTCTGGTGGTTGGTTAGATAACAATTTTGTGTAAATTAGAAATACACCTCTCAGTTTTGTTTAAAATATAAATTATCCTCTATAGTTTTGTAAATTACATTTTTGGCTTTCAAGTTTGAAATGGCATGACAAATGACCTATTTTATTACTAAATTATCAAATTAATTAATAATTTTTAATAATATTAAAAATATAATTTAATTAATAATTCAAATAATTTTATTATTATATAGAAGAATCGTTAGAAATTTTATTTTTTTTATTAATTATGTTAAATAAAATTTTTTGACAAAATTGATATTTATAAGTTTCAAAATTACAAGAGCATTTTATATTTTAAACAAATTTCAAAAAATATATTTATAATTTACCCTTTCTTTTAACAACAAAAAACCATTTTTTTTCTTTTTCTTCTTTTTTTTTATCTTTTTTCTTTTTTTCATATTTAATGCGGTCATTTTCCTTCCGTGCCGACTGAAACTATCCCATTCATCCGGAACACTATCGATATGTTATGGGGATTTTTATTTTATTTTTTGAAAAAAAACAACAACAACAACAACAACAACCACAACAACAACAACAAAAAAAAACTAAGGTACAAAATCATATTTCATATACTTGTAATCGAATTGATTTATTTGTACTTTTATTTATCCAAATTAGTTGTTAGGGTTTAAAAAAATTGACCTAATAGATCTAATGTTTTAATTTAACAATTGTTGTGAACGTAAATACCCTTCTGGATTTGGTATGGTATGTATTTTAGTTCTATGTTAATATATATGATATGGGATCAACTCTCTTCTATACCTTCATTTTTTTATACTCTTTCATTCTCTTCATGCGTACCTCAATACGAATTTACACAAATGATTCGAACCATTTATCTTGTATGTCCCGCAATAAAGGTCATTCATGTACAAAAATCAGTATTATTAGACATATATAAGCACATAAATAAATCACATTTTCTTTTACAAAATAAAAAGGAAATATGATTATAAGTTTAAATCATCAATTTTATAAAACAAAATGTAATTTGTTCTTGTGTTTATAACTGTCTGATGAAACTAATTTTTTTCACTGATAACCTTTACTACGAAACTTACCAAATAGTCGATTCGAATCATTGGTGCAGATCTGGATTGGGGCCCACAAAAAAAGCATGGAGAGGAGCTCATCCCATATAATATGACGTATATGTAGCAGTGTAGCGTATTTGTATCTGTATTGGGGGACTTTGATTATCTCTATTCCACGTATGAAATGGAAAATTTCCATTACATATCTAATGGCTATAAAATATGAATATAAATTTATAATTATTTTAAATTAAAAAAATATCTTGACACTAACCATTAAATGATATAATGGAACCTCTCCATTACATAATAATGGAGAGGTTCATAATCTGTATTGGGTAATCTGTTACACATGAATCATAATCTATTTGTTGGTTTGTGTAGCAGCTAGTGTTTGTGGAAAGTGGTTTGGCAATACTCTTCTAATCCTGGCGGACGCCAATGATCCTCTGCTAGTCACCTGAAAACGAATAAACACTCCGGTCGGAGGTACCGGAATTAGCACTCCGACGGTCAAGTCAGTCTCTACACTCAAGATAACTTGTATTCTAAGTTAAGCACAGTAGTTCTCACATCCCTTTCTTTGACTGTTGTCCCTCTATTTATACTCATTTACAGGGCCTCGGGGCCTGGTCCACTTTTGGCTCACAAACTGCTTATTTGTTCGGCCCCATAGTTACTCGGCCTGTTAATTGAAGCCGGCCTTCGAATTGTGCAGGTTAGAGCCGAGCAGCGTCCATCTTTTAGAGCGTACACTTCTGATTCTGCCCAATTATTCGGCTCCCACAATTGCCCCCCAAACTCCCCGTTGACGACAGTTAACTAGTGTGTTTGGTCTCGAATTTGGAAAGTCAAGAGAAACATAAATTAGGCGGCTTCACCTATCCCAATGTGAATGTCAGAACACACACGCCTTTCGGTCATCATTATACGTTCCCGCCTCGTTTGTGCATCTTCTGTATTTATTAAGATTTGAAACTTCAGTCTCTTCGAATGCATACTTTTTTAATATTAGAGTCTCCTGGATTGGTAGCCGAAATCCCTCTATTTCGCGTCTTTTACAACTTATTTCTGTCTCTTCCTGTCTCCTTTGCCTCTCGTAAGTTTTCTTCTCCTTTTTGTAATCCTATTTTCCGTGCTCGTTTTTGCTTTAGAATACCTGAATCCTTACCAAAATGGCTAAGCATTTGAAAGACCTCCTTTCTGAGGGTCGTATTTCTAGGTTCCGGAGACATTTCTCTATCCCTGATGATGTCCACATATCTCTAGTGACAAACAATACCCTTGATATGGAGAGGGAGGACCAAAATACCATCGTCTTTCTTCTCCTATCTATTGCGGAGGGCAGGGTTCGTTTTCCCCTACACCCATTTCTTAGGGTCTTCCTCCGCCATTGGGGTCTGATTCCTTCCCAACCTAATGTGAATTTCTTTCGAATCATAATGGGAATCGTAGAATTGAACCGGCGCCTTAGGATCAACCTTGGCATTTCGGCGATTTGGCACTGCTACGCTCTGGCCAAATCCTCCGGTCGGCTCGGACGCTTCTTTCTCAGGGCCAAGGACACTGACCATCACTTGGTAACCATGCTTGTCAGTTCTGGCAAACGAGTTGACGATGTAATGGTCAATGTCCGTGGCAACTGGGAATTCGACGAAGGCGAAGATCGCCTAGACCCTGTTCCCAAAAATAGGGGCGAACCAAGTGGCCGTGTAACTCCTTATTTTTATTGATTTTTCTTTTATTCGGCTTTCTCTTCAAGTCTAATCCTTTGTTTTTGCGAGCAATAAGTTGAAGAAGATTTAGACTTCGGCTGACGACGCAGTCCTTGCGGAAATAAAGACTGCACTCAAGTATTTTGGCCGTCCAAACGTACAGAAGCAAGGGAGAGACGTCCATATACTTCTGCGGTACGAGCCCACTTATACTATGTTCTCGGCGGCGGACGACATTCCGATCCCCTCCGGCAAACACCACCTTACGACTCTTATCTTCCCCAGCTTCAAGACCCTCAGGCAAATTGGTCTTGAAGCTTCGGATTCGGAGCAAGACGTAGAGACGGTGGTCAAAGTAGTTGCCGAACCGACGATAGAGTTCGCTGCGGAGGCTGAAAAGGTCGACGAGGCTCTGAACTCGGCATTTGAGGTAGCCGGTCTTAACCAGCCTGACTCACCGTCCACTTCAGGTCGGGCGGAGTTTTCTTTCGGAGATATTTTTACAAGGTTGGGGGATTTACCCGGCGATTTTTTTGAAGGTATGGCTGGAGAAAATCTAACGCAGATGGCGCGAAAGAGAAATGCCGAACGCATGGCAGGGCGACAAAAAGCCGAGGCCAGCCATTCTGGGCCTGTCCCGATTGAATCTTTACAATCTGTGATAGTAAAAAAGACGGCTCAAGTTGTTTTGGCTGAGTCGGATAAAAAGGCTGAACAGTAAATCCAGGAAGAAAGGCCAATTCAAGAAGAGCGGGGCGAAAAACGTACCGCCGAGGGAGAGGCCGGCTCGGAAGAGAGCCCTGCTGATAAGCAGCCTCGTCTAGAGGAGTCGGATGTGGTTGTTCCTTTCGTTATTCAGCCGAAGATCAAAAACACGCCGATCTCCTCTGACGCATCCGCCTTGAAGGATCCAGCTGTAGCATTAAGCTTGGCCGCTTCAGTCTCGTTGCTAACTGACAAGGCCACCTTTCGAGCAGAGCCGGATTTGGTAGCTATAGCGTTGGCTGCTCAGTCGGCCCTTCTGGTATGTGACTTGATCTTTTTTACTCCTTGTTTGGTTTGGTTTGCATACGATGTTTCTTGGTATGTGATGATTCTGACTCCGTGTTTTGCAGACGGTTGGGAGGATAGCCAAACTAGGTCGTCGCCAGCACGAAGCCATTGAAATAATTGGCCGCCTGAAGTCAGAAGCTGAAGGTGAGAGGAGCAGGGCCGAGTTCGAGGCAATGAGAGCTGCGATGGAAAGTGCTCGAGCCGAAGCTGAGAAGGAGAGGGCTCAGACTGCTGACCGGCTCAGGTCCGACGCCGAGGAGAGGGCTAACGCGAGCGAGGACTCGCTCAAGTTAGCCAATGAGGCGCTCGCCGAGTTGGAAGAGTTGAGGAAGGCCAAGGAAAAAATCGACTTTGAGGCTGCTGCGGCGTTTGGGGCTGGAAAGAGAGCCGCCCTTGACAACTACATAGAAGAAGTCCCCAAATTCGAGAATCGGGGGTTCAAACATGGGTGGCTCAAAGCCCTTGCTGCCGCTGGAGTTACATTGATCATGCCAATTCCATATGAGCAAGTGGACGTTGAGCCACTTAAGTCTGATCCTGATGATTGATTTGGGGGACATTCTAGTTTTATTAAGTATTTTCAATTTTGATGTATGTTTTTTATTAGTTGATTTTCGTCTTTTTTGGATTTTCATATGTAAAATGTCCGCTGCTAGCGCCCAATTTATAATGAAAATTTAATATTGTACTTAAGTTATTACTTGTATTGTTTGTTGTATCAGTACATAATTAGGAGAATCAGCAGTTAGAATAAAATGTCATGATTACGCGAGACGGCAAACTTAAAAACCGATTAAGTTTAGGGATCTGATTTAATCATAAAATGAATTCATGAATATTGTACTGATAAATTGATTCAGTGGAACGGCTGGGGCACTCAAGCCGAACTAGATTGATGAATCTGCCTTTGCCCCAGCTGGTTCATGATCGTAGAACACCGAATAACACGTTACTGATGAATCTTGTAATGATAAGTCGATTCATGGAACGGCTGGGGCACTCAAGGCGACTATATTGATGAATCTGCCCTTGCCCCAGCTGGTTCATGATCATGAATATTGTGTTGATAAATCGATTCAGTAGAACGGCTGGGGCACTCAAGCCGAACTAGATTGATGAATCTGCTTTTGCCCCAGCTGGTTCAT